ACAAATTTTTTGGGGGACCGATGAGGGTTAACTCAATCAGCTGCCCACAAGGGTATATATGTAGGTAGTGGGCGAGTCCGTGCGTGCCCAGTTTGGAAGAAATTGGTGCAGCGGTTACCAAGATAAACACATGTAACCAAAAGTGGGCGTGGCTACGCCCGTTTTCCAAAAATTTATAATATTCTTATTTTTCGTCCGAAAATTATTGTAAATATCAATTTTGAGTGAATAATCTTCAGTGGTTACTAAAATATCGCAGTTTTCGTATTTCTGGAAGTTACCGTTATTTGGGAAGTGGGCGTGGTTACAGTCCGATTTCGCCCATTTTCAATACCAACCTACCTTGGATTAATAGAAACCTACATACCAAATTTTGTTGAGATATCTCAATTTTTGCTCGAGTTATCGTGTACACTGACGGACGGACAGTCGGACAGATGGACGGACGGACAGACAGACATAATCAGGCTTAATCGATTTCTCTATTCATTCTGTGCATTTATGTATACATTTGTCTATATCTATCTCGATTCGTTTTGGCTGTTACAAACAACCGTTATGTGAACAAAATTAATATACCCTTGTGCACAAGTGCGCTCGGGTATAAAAAAATGTATATACATATTTATATTCTACCACATCTGATTTTAGTGGGGATTTTATTCACGAATTTAATAAAAAGTATTGGCAACCAAGTGATTGAGATATATATATTTTAGAAAACGCTTATAAAAATTCTTGAAACCGAAGGAAAAAACCAGCTGACGCCAGAACCAGGGTTGCCAGATTTTCCCTATAACTTCTCCCTAAAAAACCCTAAATATATTATATGTAATTTGTAGGTGTCCAAGGATGCTAAATACTAGAAACTCGGGTATGTTGGGCGTTAATCAATTAATTTTTAAATCAACTTGTTAATTGATTAAAAAATTCATTGCAATTAAAGTTTTAATTGCACGTTGCAATTCAATTATTTACTTTTTAAATTGTTTCGTAGAATTCTTTTTTAATCGTTCCATGAAACAATTAAAAATGACAATTAAACGATAGCAATGATTAAAAGATTACAAAATTCTACGTACGTAAAAAGAGAAACCTTTATTAGTTTATTATAAGAAATTATAACCTGTTGATTTATCTTAGAACAAAAAATGGCCTTAATCATGGGAGAAATACCCTTAACTGGCAACACTGCCTACAACTTTTAAATATTTATTAGATCTAATGTCTGCTTTACTATCAGTCCAAATGAGAATAGCTTTGAACATATTTCTTTAAATTGTCTTTTAAATGAAAGCCATGCCTTATTTTAATAGTTTTGTTAGACATAGGTACAAAAAGTATTTTCTAAATCAAAATAAAGTGCAGTTAGCTAGTAGGAATTATATTTTTTTGCTTTTCAGAGTAATTAATTCAAAAATATATGTATGTATGCACATACATTCATAGTTAACTAAATTAAATAACAAAAAACTGCTTACTGATAACAGCTTAGTATGTTTATATACATATGTATGTATGTATGTATGTTGTTAGCACGAGGAATAAGAAATACGACTCTACTGAGAGAATAAAAAAAAACAAAATTAATAGCACAATAAATAGGGCCAATGCTCCAAGAATTTTAAGAACCCATTTGCGTCATTCGAATGAATTGGCTTTAAAGAAGCCAAAAATATTCAGATTTTGAAATTCAAATTCGCCATCAGGCAGCCAACAACCAGTTTCTTTCAAGAATAAAGAGCAATCTGTTGAAGCATTTAATTTATATTCGCACTATGACATGATATCGATGTGTATATATATATATATATATATATATAAATTGTGAATGGCTGTTTGTTTATTACCTTATAACTTTTGAACCACTGCACGGAATCGCACGAAATTTTGCACACTTATTTGTTTTTACCCCGGGAAGGTTATAATAGGTATGGTTTTGTTTGCAAATATGGTGTCAATTTTGCTAAGGGGCGTGGCACCGCCCATAGGGCTGCAAATTTTTAATCAGCTATAACTTCGGAACCATAAGTCACACGAACTTCAAATTTGGTGTGCAGACAAATCTATGGTATGGGGCTGATAGTAAGGTTTATAATATAGGCGTGGAAGTTTTTATCAGCCATAACTTCGGAACCATAAGTCACATGACTCCTTTAATTCCTTTTGATATCCTTTTCGAATTTAAAAGACCTCAGTTTCCAGTTCGCTTAACTTTTGGAATGACAATAAACAAGAATGCTTTAAAGTAAAACTCGAAACTTTACCGAAAATAAAATGTATGATAATTGTATTGGAAAATGCATTTTTGTTAATAGATAGTTTGAAGTATTAAAGAAATGCTGTGAAATCATATTAGAGTTATTATTCGTAAGAAATTAGATAGTATTTCTTTTACTATATAGTTTATTGGAGATATTTTAACTTAGATAAAAAACCTGCAGTGCCAAAAAATTATTATTGCATTTCATTCCATAACACCCAAGCTTTGTATATAGCTCCCCTACCATATGCTGCTATCACGGCTATAGTAAAATTAGAGCAGAAAGAGAATTTGATAATTAGAAAATTTTTCTCACTATCGGTTCCATTCAACGATATTTCTTCCAACCATTTTAGAACTTGTTCTTCATAGGAACCCCTCTCGAAAAGTAAAAAAAAAAAAATAAGTTCCAAACAGAAAATAGCCAACAAACATGTTAAAAACTGAAATAAGTACAGCAAACAAAATTACCTTTACTACTAACGTTCGCCTGTCAGGGGCGTCAAGAGGGCGTTGAACTCAGCCGCGCAAGGCCACTGTACAATGTGCGTTTGCTAACAGCCTCGGGTTAAAGTCTCACACTGTCAGGGTTAGGCTTTCGGTTAGGGATGCAAATTTTCAGAGCCAACATCGATACATCGATATTTCGATGTATCGTAAACACTAACATCGATGCCGAAAAAAATCGCCCTAAAACTATCGATACATCGATATTTTCCGATGTTTCTCTTTTTTAATAAGTATGTTACAGGTACTTCATGATTTGCAGGTTTTTACAGGAAGCTGTTAACGTACGCCACCTTCCATAAGGTTTATTAATGGCGAAAACCGCTTTACTTGTAAAACCTGCAAATCCTGAAATACCTGGAACTGACTTAATGCTTGTTAAAATTTCAAGAAACACCTAGTGTCCATCTAAACTGCTACATTGTTAACATTTCAATGGCTGGTTTTTTGAATTTAAATAGATTTCCTTCCAATGTCATAATAGATTTGCTGTTTACGCGCAGATAATACTTACACTCACCTTAAGTCGTATTGAAATACTGTAACTACGTCATGGAAATCGCCTATGTTCAACGTTGCCAATTGCTTTTATTAAGTACATGGCTGCCATCACCCGTAATACGCTTACCCAAAGGGCTCTGTCCCACGGTCAGTAATTATCACGATATTTGGATCGCGATCCATATTGATGGATTGATGGATTGATGGATCGCGCACGAATGCTACATGTTCAATATTTGTCGCGTCAGTATTTGCATATTTTTTTTGCTGAACGCTTATTATGACGCAAGAAAATATTTTTATTTTGTACGTATAATTTACAGATAATGCATTCCACAATTATTTTAAGATTTGTTCAATTTGTTTTGAAAGATCTGAAGCCCCCAGAGTGAAGGCAGAGCCGATGTTTACATTATGAGAGTAATAGATGTACTGAAAAAATGTATGGATCGCGTTTTGAAAGTGCTACACGTTCAATATTTATTGACGGTATTGCGATCCGCGATCCAGACTTCAAAATTTTGAGAAATTTTGCGATATGGATCACGATCCATCAATACTGCATACTACACCGTCAATAAATATCGCGTTACTTGGATCACGTCAATAAATACTGACCGTGTGACAGAGCCCAAAGAATATAACATAAAGATGTGAACGCAATGGCAATTTTGAACCGAAACTAAAGTCGATGTTTAAAACATCGTTAAAATTGACATCGATATATCGCCAATTTTACGATGTTGAGTAATTTTCAAATATCGATGGTAAACATCGGTTTTTTAGCAGATGTTATCGATATTTCAGAAACATCGATGCGTCGTTTGCATCCCTACTTTCGGTGCTTCCTCCTAGTGGAATAAACATTACTGCGCAAAGTTAACTGTTCAAATTGACGAATAGTTTTATATCAACTTTTGTGAAGATCTGTTTATGTGTTTTTGTACAACATATCTCTGTTGGTAACAATAATTTTAAGCTATAATAAACAATTTTTAGTAAGTAAGTTATTGGTTTTAAATTTTTTATTTATTTTTTCTTGACTATGTATTCTTATGAAGCGTTTACTATCGTTTATATATAGCTTTCCATATTGTGACAAAACAAAGGGATTTCTAAATGTTAAAACCGAAAATATGCCAATTTCGTAATATTTCGCAAGCTTTAGAATTGGGAAAAAATAAATAAACAGAGCAAAATTTTAGTATTTAGTAAGCTACTGGCATTTGTTTCTGCCTATATTTCAGATTATTACAAGTGAAATTCGAAAGGGTTAAATAAAATCTTGGTTTGATAGGCAATGCATTTTTTTATTATTGATTTTATTTTTATTGTTTTTGTTTTTACACATATATGTACATACATACTTACAATTTCATTGCCCTTTTCGAAGATTCACTAAAAAAAGAGGGCTTTGAAAGGGTAACATTTAACGCCACAAGACCAACATACTTAAGTTAATAGAAAAGTGAAATAAAGCTTTTCTGGCCTACCCAAAACTAGTTTAGCCGTGAGATCGGGTTTGGCTGGTAACATATACATACATAACTCTACTCCTACGCATGGCGAGTAATATTTTGTATACAAATCTAGTTCAAGCCGATTTAAAGTTATAAGATTGCCTACATAGTTCAAATTTTAGTTTTTATTTATAGGATTTGTTATTTGTGAATACAAGAGTTACATTAAATAAATATTTTTGTTTGTTTTTGTTTTTCTTTATACGCAGATGGGTATAAGCCTACCGATGCTGATCGCCAACACCGCGTCATTAGACACGTGGAATACGGTCGGACAGTTTTCGCCACCAATAAGCTCTGATCGAAATCAATTACGTGTTCCCTTACCTATGTCCTTCCCGAGTTCACAAAGTGAACTGAACGCTTCAAGCAGCGCAACACGCAGCCTTTTCGGCGGCAGCAGTAACAGCGACATGACTGCCAGTCCACAGAAACCAATGGATACGTCCGATATTGAGGAGAGAGAAGAGATGTTGACAAAACGAGAGCGCGCTACACCATCGAGCGTGCACAATGTCAGTGCCGGAGGTGACAGTGGAGCGGTTGGTGGTAGTTCCGCTGGTGGTGGTGCAGCGTCAGGCAGCAACAACTCTGGCAGTGGACTTGCGAGAAACAGAAGTAGCGTCGGTGGAGGTGGAGGTGCTGTCGAGCCAATCGAAGGAGGTTCTAGTCCCATACCAAACACAAATACAATGGAAATGCACGAAAAGCGTCGACGAACTACTCACGATCAAGAAGAATTAGACATTAAACGAGAATTGGTGGACTACTTTCACGCGCCTCATCCTCCCGCCCCACCCGATTCGCACCGATCGTACAGTTCCACCGACGATAATCGCTTAGGCGGTGTAGATCCGGATGATTTTGCTCAAGACTTACGCGTTAGCGCCGCTGCTGCTAAAGGCTTAGACTTTAGTCAGTTTGTATTGCCGCGCAACCTACGACGCTCCTCTGAATCTATTGATGAGAAGTTCGCTCCGCTAAATATGCGTAAACTGAATTCCGCTTCGACGAGTGCCGCGAGTGCGGGTCAAATGCTTATGAATTCATTATTATCCAATGAGAGTTTGTCCGAAGAGACCGGCACTACCGCGAGTGCGCGCATAAAAAGCGGATCCCAAGAGGCATCCACATCTGCCGCAGCTGCAGCGGCTGCCCTCTACGCTGAAAGTCTCAACAAGGACGACTGCGACTTTATCGGATCAAATGTCACGCTGAAGCTGAGATCGATGGATCGCACCCAACGAATCATAGCCGAGAAATTGATAAGTGAAGTACTTTTCTATGGACAGTTTAACGAGCTGGAACGCAGCGCACATATCCAACCCAAGTGACAACCGCTATTAAAGCTTCGCAAAGGTTTCTAAACCTAACGGCAGCAAACACATCTACATATGTATGTGTGTATGTACATATATTAGGGCGGGCCAATTTATATGGATAGATTTTGTTTTCGACATCGTTCCTAGCAAATGCGGATTGCTTATAAAATTCTAACAAAAAAAATTCCTCCAGATCATAACTCTAAGGTCAGTTTCGAGCCTGCGCAATTTTAAAAGAAGATATTTTTAATTGATTTGCTGGTTTTTTGATACAAAGAATTAATTTTTGATATCTAGTTCGTATTTAAAGAACCGCAAGATGGCGCTACAAATCAATATCCCAGTCAAGTTATTAGCTCAACAAATAGGGGTAAGCTTACAATAATTCGCATAAAGCTGAAAATTGGTACGAATGTTGCGAACACTATTATGAATGAAATGTCAAAAGTGTCCATCGATCCCATGGCTGCAGAAAAGGTATTCAAGGTCAAAGGTCACATAAATTTATTTACGGTAAGGTTTATCATAAAAATTGGTGAGCCGGAAGTGTAGATCATCATATAATTATCTATAAAGACTGTTATAACATTTTTCTTCCTAATGATTACGATTTCTGAAATATAGCGATTCAAAATTGTAGAAGATGGTGTGTACTCCATAATATGCAAATCATAAATTTGTATAGAAACTTTTTGTATGTATCTCTACTTAAGTGCTCATAACTTATACGTTTATTACTCAATTTAGATGAGTAGGGCCGTATTGTATTAATGAAGAATCATGCTTTTACGTGCAAGAATCCAAAAGTCGATATTTTTACCGAAAGTTACTTTTTTGATTATTATTATTTTTTAATTATGTAAAATTGTCGATTGTCAATGATTAGCTCCTAAATCCGCCAGCTATATAAAAGAAAATATACAATTAAATGAGTGCACTCCTTCACATCTCTAAAAACCGAAATTTGGCTATATCTCAAAAACTATTGCAGATTCAGCAGAAAATTTTACATGACAAGTAACCCCCATTTTTCTCCATGAGTACCAATGCGATTCATTTCATATACCTCCATACAGCTTCATGAACTTTTCCAGAGATATGCATTTTGAAAAACTCGGTTTGTAGGGTGGTGCCACGCCCCCTTTATATATCTAAATATTTTTCTGCCTATAACCATCCTTGGAAAATCTGCAGTAGGTGTCCAAAATTTAAAAAAAAAATCGGTAGAGCCGTTCTCGATCTTTGTGAACAGAAAAAACGGCTTTCAAAATATACATATATGTTTATATTAGTATATATTTGCTTTGTATCGCCATCTCGCGGTTCTTTAAATAAAAAATAGATATCGGAAATTAATTTTTTGTATCAAACAATTCCCAAGCACCAGTTTTTATAAAAAAACTTGTAACACTTTAGTAAATACTAATCTGCATATTAACTTAGTATTAGATAAAGATATCTTCTTTTAAAATTTCACCGGCTCCAAATTAATTTTAGAGCTATGATCTGAAGGACCTTTTTTCTTAGAATTTCATGTAGAATCCGAATCTGTCCGATGTCGAAAAAAATTGGACCTCCCTAATGTACATCGACCTTCACATACCGTTCGTCGTTATCAATGCAAAAACCTATATTTGCCATTCTCTTGGAAACGCTTTAAAGTATAAACAGAATCAAATCGCTCATAAAAATTCGTCGGAAGAATATTCGCTGCCGTATTAAAACACACGGCATTGTATGAGATTGCACACAACCAAAGCGACAACGAAGTTCGTCTGGAAATGTAGCTCTGTTTCCCCACTTTGCTAGCAGATAATTATCAGCAAAAACCAGAATGATGAAATTTGGTGATTCATCTATGCGCTTTTGTATTTTTATATTTTTTATTTGTAATTCAATTAATGCGAATTTCGTTTCTCTTCCGTCTTACTTGGTGAAATGTTGCGGCGAATTTCACCCGACCGCATCGCCGCTCCAACCAACGAAATTCGCACAGCGATTTGGTTCTGTTTATGCTTTTAGTTTGCTCTCAGACACACCCGAAATTGTAAAATTCAAAGTCAATTGAGGGATTCACAACAGTGTCGTAAGTATCGTATTGTTGTATGTCGTAAACTTTAAAAGCTTAAATAAATGTTTAGACAACTTGAAACGACAACCAACTATTCTTTAACACCGCAAAAATTCTTAATATGGCTTTGATGGTACTTTGCGGACCTCCCTTTTATATTTTTTAGGCGTTTAAAGTTTACGACACCGTCACGAATACTTACGACACCGTTGTGAATACTCCAAATATCTTACAAAAAATTTTTATTACTATATTAGCATCTCTGGAATAGCCCGGGCCTTTTGCATTGATTATCGCTATACACACCTGAAGAAGCATTATCCGATATAATTTTTCTATCACTAACAAATTTAACGCTCGAATAACACTAGCCTACAGGCAAAAAAGGCCAGAGCGGATTCCGGATATACCCATCGTTTTTTTCAACTAAAAGTATATCTGAAATCTGCGGTGGAGAACAGTTTTGGCATTTCCTGTAGACTTGTGTAATGTACCACAAACAACTGCTGTATGGTGTTAATGAATATATACATACATCCATGCACACATGCATATGTTTTCATGATGATTATACTATATTATATACTCGTATTTGTATAATTTAAAAGCATCCATAAGAACGTTACACAAAAATCCTTACAGTACAAATTTCAATACATACTATATATATATATATATGTACATACATATACGCATGCATGTATGTACACATCAACATTTCTGGGTTTGCAAATTTACAGCTGCATTTTCTTACTTGTTTATATTGTTGTTATTTGTTAATGTTTTCAGCGATTCTTCCGAAACAAAGAATTTTATGAAAAGTTCAATTTTAGCGTTCATAGTAGATTTGCATATACATATGTACATACATATAATATCCATATTCGTAGTCCTTCCTTCGAATCGATGGACTACAATTTACCCCATTCTTGCTACATACTAGATGAAATGTGTCTTTTTCAAAAAATGCCCTATGACATACCCAGTAGATAATTTCAGGAGTTAAAAGCCCCTCCGAAAGACCTTCCTGAGAGTCAAGAGTCCTTCCACTGTACATTCCTTTCTCCTTTCTGTTTTGTACGGACTGGCACAAATGGAAGGGCTTCTTCTTTCGCTACCCATGGAAGGCCCTCCAGAAGGGCTTTTATAGGACATACTTCAGAAGGGCTTTTGGGGGAGTTCTTTTAAAGTTGCTTCTTTCATTGTAATGCTAAATAATATAATTTTATGCATTCGCGTAAAATGTAAATGGGATGGGCCCTTCTAGAAGGCATGCAAGGAAGCACTTTTTTCAGCCCTTCTTGGGTAGGGCTCTTAGAATGGCTTTACTTAAGAAGGCCTACGTAAATTATCTTCTGGGTACTTGCTGTGTCTTAAACGGGCATATTCCGCAAATCGTACGACTTGAAATGACTATAAAATCTAATTTTGGATTTTTTTTTTACCAAAAAGGGCAATAGTTTGGCACTAAATCCATGGATATGGCGTAAATGATGTGTTTTTACCTATCTCCATTCGAAATGGTATTACTTTCATCCACAAATATTCAAATATATTTGCAAATCGGACTGATATTAGATCGCACAACTTTCGGAACGGGTCTGAATATCCGCTATTTATTTTAGGTATTCGCACCCTCCTGTTTATTAGGTTATCTAGTTATTTGGGGTATTCACAACGGTTTCGTATCTCGACATACGCTATCGTTAACTTTAAAACAGAATTCTACATGTTAAGTGCTATGCGTTGGGTAATCGCTTACACGCAAAGCCCATTTAACAGATTCTTATGTGACAACTCTCATGCAAAGCTAAGTATGCATAACTGGGCTAAAAATACATGTTGTTCCCCAACAAACCATTTTTTAACACGGTGAAAATTCATAATATGACTGAATAAAAACATAATAACCGGATAACCCGATAACCGATAAAAGCGTATCTATGTAAATATGTGTATGTACATAATTATTATTATTTCATTAAAATTACAGTTAGGGCAATATGTAAGCTCGTTATTTGTGCTGTGTGCGATTCAATTGCTACCCAAATTTAAATTCTATTACAATTTTCTCGGAATCAAAAAAACCGAATTTGCAGTTTTCACAAAAACTACTTTCTGATTTTAGAACCCTTCTGGGTTTTAAGTGTCATCACCGATGTCAATTCTAACTTTAAAATCCAAAAGTAAATTCCATCGTACAGTTTCATAAGTAAAAACACTATCAGCTGATTGCCAAAAAATGCGTACAGCTGAGATCATCTGTTTTTTGGAATGTGCTCTTATCTTTTACAATTTCTTTCATTTCAATTACAATTTATTTTATTTCTATTACAATTTATTCCAAATACACTAACACACTGAACCAAAAACACCAATACAACAAACACACACCTACAGCCTGCCAGAAAAAACGTTAAGAAGAAGAGTTACTTTACTTAAGATGTTCTTACACGATATGTATTTGCTTCTGTAAATGTGTCCTTTTCAAAACATATGTAATTGCGTATGTCTATCAAATTCACAGTCTTTATTTAACTATTTAAAAATACGTTCTTTAAAAACAAAAATAAACTAAACTCAGATGATTCTATCTGTGTGTCAGATGAAAATAGAAACATTTCTATTTCCTATGTACGCGCATCTACTTTGTACAGAATCAAATCTAATTTGTCTTTACACGATATGTTGGCATTTCCATATGTAAAAAGTGGCATGTACACATGCAAATACATATCGTGTAAGAACACCTTTATGGATCTGTACGATGGTAAATTCTACTAACCAGCCGACAGTTAAAGGCTCTGTTATGCATACTTGGCATTGCATGCACTGCTATACCATTTTTACGT